ATCTATCTATCTATCTATCTATCTATCTATCTATCTATCTATCTATCTATCTATCTATCTATCTATCCTATCAATTACATATCAGATAATTAGGATACCTACCTACCTACCTACCTAATTATCTATCAATCTATTTATTATCTATCTCATCTATCTATCCTAATTATTATCTATCTATCCTATCAGTTACATATCTATCAATATCTAACAATATCAATTATCTATCCTATCAATTATTAATCAATTATCTATCCTATCATTTATCTATCTATCTATCTATCTATCTATCTATCTATCTATCTATCTATCTATCTATCTATCTATCTATCTAGTATTTATCTATCTATCTAATCTATTATCTATCTCTCTATTCTATCATATGTCATCATTTATCCATCCATCCATTTTCACATTTATCCGTCCATCCGTCTGTCCCTCCCTCCCTCATGGTCTGCTTGGGTTTCAAACTGCGCACCTTCCGGTCGACAAGCCCAGCATCTTAACCACTAGGCCATCCTGTCCCTCCTGCCTACTCTTAAACCCAAACAATTGAAATCGTATTCAAATTTTCTTCTCACAGCAATACCCCATTTGTCGTCAAAAACAATTTAGAGCTGAGGGTCTGCCCTTGCTTTGGAAATAATGGGGGGAAATCTACTATGGCTGGCTGGGAAAGGCTCTGTCACGCTTGTGGGGGGGGAGGTGGCTTTTTAAAGCAGCTGTATCTTTTCCTCCCAGAGCGGTGTGAGAGCCTGAGAAAATGCAGGGCTGCCTTAAAAGAATCGCAGCCTGGCTTTCTAACACGGCTTGGGATAGCCAACACAAAATCAGAAATAATTGGTAAATAAAGGTGTTTATTAGGGTGGAAAAACCCTTCTGTAAACAATGGAGGTGCGATTCGTGAGCAGTGGGACTCAAACAGCTCTGCTGATTTGCTGCTGATGCAAAGTTTGGTGAGAGAGTTAGCTAATACGTCGATATTGTTCAGATTTGGGGAACTCTGGAATTAAATGCCGTAAACCTGCCAGTTAGTCATTTAACACTCTGCAAACAAAGGTTGGGATAATTAGCGCTTACACAGAGCTCTTGAGTTCCCAGAACTTCATATAATTATTGCCGTAATGCTGTAACAATCCTGTAAGTTAAACCGTCATTAACCCCCAACAGAGCCTTTCAGAAAAACGTACAATAAAGTTGCAACTCGGGTGGGACTGAAAACTGGGGAGGGGTGGTGGTGGGGGTTCTCCGGTTCACACTCCTGGGCAAGAACAGGACAAAAAGCTCTTGGGTCACATGACCGAATCACACGGACAGATAGGGAGTCAAAGACAAGCCGTCGTTGGGACATTGAGGACAGGACGACACCCAAATCACACAAGAGAAAAAGATGAAATTGTGGATGGCGCGGGGATTCCCGTCCATCCGCGCGCAAGCACGACGTGGCTTTTGGAGATCAAGCGTGATGAGCCGCGGTGGCGCAGTGGTCACAGTGCAGTACTGCAGGCTATTTCTGCCGACTGCCGGCAGCCTGCAGTTTGGCAGATCGAATCTCACCAGGCTCAAGGTTGACTCAGCCCTTCCGTCCTTCCGAGGTGGGTAAAATGAGGACCCAGATTGTTGGGAGGGGCGGAGGGGGGCAAGGGGCTGACTCTGTAAAGCGCTTAGAGAGGGCTGGAAAGTCCTGTGAAGCAGTGTATAAATCTAACTGCGACTGCTATTGCAGGCAAACTCTGCCCACTGTCAGGAGTTCAATCCTGACCGGCTCAAGGTTGACTCAGCCTTCCGTCATTCCCAGGTGGGTAAAATGAGGACTTGGATTGTTGAGGGGCAAGAGGCTGATCCTGTAAACCGCTTAGAGAGGGCTGTAAAAGCACTGTGGAGCGGTGTATAAGTCTAAGGGCTTGGAATCCATGAAGGGGAGCCATTGTCCTTGGATCCTTGTTGGAACGAGTTGGAATTCGGATCCTAATCGGGCTTTGAGACTCATTCCAGTCTGACGTTGTTTGAGTTAGATTGTCGGTGCCAGATGTTCCCAGTTTCTCTCAACTCCCTTTTTCAAGCAACCGACCAATTGCCACCTTTACGGAACTGCTAAACTAGTTTGTTGATACTACAGGCCTGGAGAAGTCCAATCTTGGCAGCTTTAAGACTTGTGGATTTCAACTCCCAGAATTCCCCAGCCAGCCGTGCCTTCTCTAAACAACTTTCCAGCTTCTCTGAATGCTCCTGAAAGCAACGTCGTGGATAGGACGGTCCTTCACTAACTATTCCTGACTGTGAAGGTTTAGATTCTGGCTGTCTTAACTTTGCAGGCAGCTTTTAAGACTTGTGGACTTCAACTCCCAGAATTCCCCAGGCCGGATGAGGGCAATTGCGTTCAATTGCATTCGCCAGGTGCTCCCACCCACTTCAAGGAACACCGAGCAGATGTCAGAGCGTGGATGGCTGGTTCCCAGAATAAAATCAACAGAAGTGATTGGTGGGCCTAACAAACTGTGGGCGGCCCTTGGGGAAAAGGGAGGATTAACTATACTTGCTTTCGTGCGGGGAATCCCAGAGCTGGCTTCGCTTCTTCTGCGCCCATGTGGATTTCTTCAGCAAAGTTTGATCTACTCTTGGTAAAATAATCATCCCCGGAGTTTCTTTTTCTGGGTTCGCCAACTGGACAGCTGACATTAAACCAGGTCAAAATAAACCCGGGTTTAAGTGGCAAATGACTCGTATTGATGACGGTTCAAGTGTCCCAAGGGTCACGCAACCCCCCCCCTTTGGCGACCTTCTGACGAACCAAGTCAAGAGAGAAGCCGGATTTACTTGACAATTGTTTTAAGAACGGCAGCGATTCACTTAACAACTGTGGCAAGAAAGGTCGTAGAAACGGGGGGGGGGGGGTGGTGGCAAAACTCACTCCAGCAACTGTCTCGCTCGGCAACGGAAATCTGGAGCTCCATTGAGGTCGTCGGTCGAGGGCTACCCATATTCTGGTTTTATATCGAGGAACTTTACGATTAGCCCGGATTTTGGCTGTTGTTAAACCAGGGGGTGTGCAAGCTTGGCAACTTTACGACTGGTGGACTTCAACTCCCAGAATTCCTCAGCCAGAGGAATTCTGGGAGTTGAAGTCCACCAGTCGTAAAGTTGCCAAGCTTGCACCCCCCCCCCTGTGCTAAACAGTCCATGTTTCGTTAGGAAGCCGGGCCCCATATGGGGGTCTCCGGGTTGTCTGTGCCAGAACCCCTCCAGAAGCCAACCCCACCCCCCTCCCCAAGCCTTACCCTCCGGCGTGGAGGCCTCCTTTCTGCGGCTGGAGGGAGGCGCCAACAGGCTGATGGGCGTGGGCTGGTGTTCAGGTGACCGAATTATGGCAGACATGATGATCTGCTGCCTGGCCGTGGCAGGAGTGGATGGGTGAGGGTGGTCTGTGATTTTCCTATGGGCAGCTACGGACACACACAAATAGTTAGTTAACTCCTTTCCTCCGAGCGGGACCAGGAAGAAGGAGAAGGAGAAGAAGGAGGAGGAGAAGAAGAAGGAGCAGGAGCAGGAGTGGTTGTACGGAAGCGTTAAGAATTGACAGCCTGCAACCTTGTTTTCTTTTAATTAACGTTTCGGTCAACAGCCAACAAGGGGGTGGTGGGGAAAAGGGGAGAAGAGAGAGAGAGAGAGAGAAACAAAAGACGTCAAGGACGAGACGGAGAGGGGAGTGGGGGGCACTTGGGACTCCGAAGCATAAACCAAAACAGACCCCCTTCCTCTTGCTTGGTGCCGCGGATCAAGCGTTTTCCCCCTACCTTCCTCCCGAGCCGATCGGAGTTCGATGCGGGTTTTCTGCAGGGCTTCCTCCAGCTCCGCCGAGCGGGCCTTCTCCTTCTCCAGCGCCACCTTCAGCTCATTGTACTGCAGAGGAACCTGTGTGGGCAAAGAAGGGTCCTCTTTCCGTCGACTAAACAGGCCCTAGCAACAGAAACACACAGACAGCTCCTAACTCCTGGTCAGCGATGGTTGCCTCCGGGGGGAAGGGGAAGCTCGCTGGCTAATTGCAGACCAGAGGGTCTGAGGGTCTACTCTTCCTCCTCCTCCTTCCCTCCTCCACTTCTGCCTTTTTTTCTCCCTCCTCTCCTCCTTCTCTCTCCTCCCCTTTTCTTCCCCTCCTCTCCTCCCCCCTTTGTTTTCCCCTCTCCTCTTCTTCCCCTTTCTTCTCCTCATCCTTCTCTCCTCCCCCTCTCCTTCCCTCTTCATTCTCCCTCCGTTCCTCCCCTCTTCCTCCTCCTCTCCTCTTTCTTCTCCTCCTCCTCCTCCTTCCCTCCTCCACTTCCACCTTTTTTTCTCCCTCTCTCCTCCTTCTCTCCTCCCCTTTTCTTCCTCCCCTCCTCCTCCTCCTCATTGTTCCCTCCTTCCCTCCTCCACCTGCCTTTTTTCTTCCCTCCTCTTCCTTCTCTCCTCTTTCTCCTCCCCTCCCCTCTTTGTTTTCCCCTCCCCTCCTTCCCCTCTTTCTTCTCCTCATCCTTCCCTCCTCCCCCTCTCCTCCCCTCTTCATTCTCCCTCTGTTCCTCCACTCTTCCTCCTCTCCTCCTCCTTCCCTCCTCCACTTCTGCCTTTTTTTCTCCCTCCTCTCCTCCTTCTCTCTCCTCCCCTCTTCCTCCTCCTCATTCTTCCCTCCTCCACCTGCCTTTTTCCTCCCTCCTCTCTCCTTCTCTCCTCTCCTCTTCTCCCCTCCTCTTCTTCCTCTCTTTCTTCTCCTCGTCCTTCTCTCCTTCCCTCCTCCCCCTCTCCTTCCCTCTTCATTCTCCCTCCGTTCCTCCCCTCTTCATCCTCTCCTCCTCCTTCTCCCCCAATTGCCTGGTCAAGCATTTTAAAGATAATTTCGCCCCCCAGCTTGGCCCCAATCATCACCCAAGCTAACAAGAAAGAAGAAACCGGACATCCATTTGTCCGGAATGGTACAGGTAGTCCTTAACTTATAACCATAATTGAGCTGCGGCTGCTAAGCAAGACAGCTGTTAAGTAAGCGTTACCACCTTTCACCACCTTTCTTGCTGCAGTTGTTAAGTGAATCCCTGCAGTTGTTAAATTAGTAACACAGTTGTTAAACGAATCTGGCTTCCCCGTTGATTTTGTTCATCAGAAGTTCGCAAAAGGGGATCAAGATGAGCCCCGGGAACAGTGCGACGGTCATAACTGCGAGTGAGTTAACAAGTATCTGAATTTAGATCATCCGATCTTGGGTCGTAAGTGTGAAAGACAGTCATAAGTCACTTTTTTTCAGTGCCGTTGTAACTTTGAACGGTCACTAAGCGAGACGTTGTAAGTCGAGGACTACCTGCACACAACACAAGTACAGGCCAGGGTCCAAAAGTAACCTTAAGGTACTTTTGAGGGGTTGGCAAAATCCAGTAGAATTTGGGGCCATCTGGAAGCCCTCTTCATTCCCCCCAGTCTTAAGAATATTTCTGACAGCAAGCCGCTGCCTCCTGCCTGCTACCGTATTTTTCGGAGTATAAGACGCACCAAGGTTTTGAAGAGGAAATTTAAAAAAAAAAGTTTTTGCACTCTGCAAACCTCCCCAAAACTGCCTGTTTTTCACGAAAATGGCCCCGTTTTTCCCCCCTCAAAAAATAAAATAAAATACATGTATAGCTTTAAAACGCTTATAGAGTGCTCCTGTGAGCTGGGCCCCCCAAAATTGAGCAAAAAACGGCCCACTTTTTACTCATTTCTGCCCTCCCCAGCCCCCAGGAGCACTTTGGAAGCCTTCTAAAGGCTATACACGGCCATTTTGATGAAGAGGGCGAGGTTTCGGGAGGCCAAAAATGCTGTATTCAGTGTATAAGATGCACCCAGATTTTCAGCCCCTTTTTTTGAGGGAAAATGGTCCGTCTTCTACTCCAAAAAATACGGTAATTAATTTTTCGCGTTCATATATTTTCCACACCTTTTTCTTCTTGGCCGGCTGATCCATCTTCGCTTGGAGGAAATCTATAAGCTTGGTTTGTTGGGAAATAGTGCCTTCCATTTTCACTTTTTCGTGGGAATACAGGACCTTGGCGACACGGAAAGGTGCGGGGAAGGAAGAAAAAAAACAACCAAAAAAATCACCACAGGTGTACAAATAAACCCGAGAGGAACGTGAAAAGGGAAACATGTGAAATTATTCCCGGCCTGCCATTACTTTGATTCTCTCACCTGAATATTTTCCAGCTGGTATTCCAGGTCACTCCGTTCCGTCTTCAAAAGATCGGCCCGGTCCAAAGCCTCTTGCAGGCCTTGAGTCAGCCGAAAGATATGATTCTTTTGCAAATCCATCTGCTGCTGCAGCTTGGCTTGCTGTGGAGGAGACAAAAACCCAGGATTATCAAAGGCTAGCCGGGTACCCGTGCTTTGCTACGAAAATATGTGATCGGGCTTGATACGTTGACATTTAAAAAGCTTGAAAATTAATGCAGAACATGTAAGTCTTCAGCATCAGAGCGTCTTAAAAATAAGGCAATGGGCAGTTGGAACAGAGTTCCTTTCGAGTGGGGAGGAGGAGTAGAATGTCTAAACTCCCAGCCAGCAGGCCGGATGAGTCACGCCCTGGCCATGCCCATAATAAGGCAACTGGCAATTGGAACAGAGTTCTTTTCAGATGGGGAGGGGGAGTAGAATGTCTAATCTCCCAGTCTGCAGCCCAGATGAGTCACACACTGGCCACGCCCATATAAGGCAACTGGCAGTTGGAACAGAGTTATTTCAGGTGGGATGGGGGAGTAGAACTTCTTAGCATCGACATTAAGGCTAACTCCTTAACGCCTAACTCCTAAGTCTAACTTGACGCATGTTAATATTACTGTTTAAGAAATACTGATGATCTGATGGTCATTTCAAAAAATCCTTTCTTAGAGAGCACGTAGAAGCCAAGAGGAACATACGGGCCAAATTTCACGTTTGTAGGCTTTACGGTTCTGAAGATTTTGTGATGACTGAGTGGTATTTGGCTTTTATAGAGAGAGATTTAAAAATATAATAACAAACAAGTTCCAATTTTTTCTCCAGTCTTTTTTCCATTAGTCCCAAAATCTCTATATATAGATTCTGAGGAAGAGGTGCATTAAGAGAAAGACAGAAAGGAGAAGAATTGAAAGAAAGATTGGTAGGGCGGGAGGAAGGAAGGAAGGAGAGAAAGACTGAAAGGAGAAGAATTGAAAGTGGTAAAGAATTATAAGGGAGGGAGGGAGGCGAGAGAGACTGAAGAGAAGAATTGAAAATGATAAAGAGAACGATTATAAAAGAGAGGGGGAAGAAGGAAAAGACTAAAAGGAGAAGAATTGAAAGCGATAAAGAGAACAATTATAGAATGGATGGATGGAAGGGAGGAAGGGAGGATTAAGAGAAAGACAGAAAGGAGAAGGAAGCCGGGAGGGAGTATGGTAGGAAGGAGAGAAAGACTGAAAGGAGAAGAATTGAAAATGATAAAGAATTATAAGGGAGGGAGGAAGAAAGGAAGGAAGGAGAGAAAGACTGAAGAGAAGAATTGAAAATGATAAAGAGAATGATTATAAGAGTGGAAGGGAGGAAGGAAGGAAAAGACTAAAAAGAGAAGAATTGAAAGCGACAAAGAGAACAATTATAGGATGGATGGATGGATGGACGGGAGGATTAAGACTGAAAGGAGAAGAATTGAAACAGATAAAGAGAAAGAAGGGAAGGAAGGACGGGAGGGAGGGAGGGAGGGAGGGAGGGAGGAAGGAAGGAAGGAAGGAAGGAAGGAAGGAAGGAAGGAAGGAAGGAAGGAGCGAGCCATATTTTAGGGTTATATCAAAATTTAAAAACATGTTTCCCGACTTCAGCAACTTTAAGAAGTGCAGATTTCTATCCCTCAATCCGCAGGAATTTCAAAAGTCTACACCTCTCAAAGCTGCCAATTTGAAAACCAGGGATTTAAACCCCAGTTTGTAAGAGAACCTCCTGGAGGAACCTCCTTGGAGTGAAACGAAGCAAAACAGCTTGGATGGCCTTAAGCAGGGAGCCCTGTGTGAGAATGCTAACAATTTGGCGACCCAGAAGTGTCCCGATCCAACCATTGCAACTGCCGCATCTGGTCTCAGCCCTTTCAATCTCCCCGAAAGGACTCACAAACGTTTGGTTAGGGAGCAAGGGACTACCTCTTCCAGAAGCCTCTGCTTGAGTTCGCGTTCTGTTTCAAGCTTCTGCTGTAAGCTCCGGGCATTCATCTCCAGCATGGCGTGCTTCTTCTCCAAGTCATTCAGCTGGTTAGAACAGAGAAGCGGACGCGTTCAATGGGCGCAGGTATGAAAGACCAGACTTTTTCTGAATCTACTCGCCTCTCTCGCCCTCTTTTCTCTTTTCCTTTCAAATTATAAAAGTTCTTTTCCTTTCCATCTATAGAAAATTATCTTTTCCTTTCCAGTTATAAAAGTCCCCTTTCCCTTTCCATCTATAGAAAGTTCTCTTTTCCTTTCCAATTATAAAGTTATCTTTACCTTCCCCCTTATAAAAGTTCTTTTCCTTTCCACCTATAGAAAATTATATTTTCCTTTCCACTTATAAAAGTCCCCTTTTCCTTTCCACCTATAGAAAGTTCTCTTTTCCTTTCCACTTATAAAAGTCCCCTTTTCCTTTCGACCTATAGAAAGTTCTCTTTTCCTTTCCAATTATAAGTTATCTTTTTCTTCCCCCTTATAAAAGTTCTTTTCCTTTCCACCTATAGAAAATTATCTTTTCCTTTCCACTTATAAAAGTCCTCTTTTCCTTTCCACCTATAGAAAGTTCTCTTTTCCTTTCCTATTATAAAAGTTCTCTTTTCCTTTCCATTTATAAAAGTCCTCTTTTCCTTTCCACCTATAGAAAGTTCTCTTTTCCTTTCCACTTATAAAAGTCCTCTTTTTCCTTCCACCTATAGAAAGTTCTCTTTTTCTTTCCAATTATAAAAATTCTCTTTTCCTTTCCAATTATAAAAGTNTCTTTTCCTTTCCTATTATAAAAGTTCTCTTTTCCTTTCCATTTATAAAAGTCCTCTTTTCCTTTCCACCTATAGAAAGTTCTCTTTTCCTTTCCACTTATAAAAGTCCTCTTTTTCCTTCCACCTATAGAAAGTTCTCTTTTTCTTTCCAATTATAAAAATTCTCTTTTCCTTTCCAATTATAAAAGTTCTCTTTTCCTTTCCAATTATAAAAGTTCTCTTTTCCTTCCCCCTTATAAAAGTTCTTTTCCTTTCCACCTAGATCTGGCTTGCGTGCCAAATAAAAGGAACCAAGCTTTCTGGGCCAACATCAGCCAATACGATCATTCCTTGACTTACAACCTCAATTGAGCCCCAAATTTCTGTGGCTAAGTGAGACAGTTGTTAAGTGAGTTTCCCCCCCATTTTACCACCTTTCTTGTCAAAGTCGTTGAGTGAATCGCTGCATTTGTTAAGTTAGTCACACGGTAGTTAAGTGAATCTGGCTAAGCGACCAACCTTGTCAGACAGACTCTCAGCTTTGAGCTTCTGTTCCTTTAACGCTTGCTGGAGAGCCAAGATCTCCGCTTTATGTTCTTTAACTGCGAGCTCCACAACTTGGCGGGATTCCGTGATACGCTGGTCGGCTCGCACCCTGCATGAAAGAGAATAAACACCGACTTTATACCACTTGTGTGGTCTACTTCCCTTCCAGGATCCAAAGAAGGATGGAATCAATAGGAAAGGAGTTTTCAGGTGGGTGGATGGACAGGTAGATAGGTAGGTAGAAGGATGGATGGATGGAAAGGTCGATAGGTCGATAGATGGATGGGTAGGTAGATAGGTAGGTAGGTGGGTAAGTGGATGGATGGTAGGTGGGTAGATGGATGGATGGGTAGGTAGGTAGATACATGGATGGTTGGATGGGTAGGTAGATAGGTGGGTGGGTGGGAGGATGGATGGGTAGGTAGATAGATAGGTGGGTGAGTGGCTGGCTGGTTGGCTGGGTGGGTAGGTAGGTAGGTGGGTAGAGAGATGGATGGGTAGGTAGGTAGATGGATGGATGGGTAGGTGGGTCGATGGATGGATGGGTAGGTAGGTAGGTAGATGGATGGGTAGCTAGATAGGTGGGTAGATGGATGGATGGGTAGGTAGGTGGATGGATGGGTAGGTGGGTAGATGGATGGATGGGTAGGTAGGGGGGTAGATGGATGGATGGGTGGGTAGATAGATAGATGATAGATAGATAGATAGATAGATAGATAGATAGATAGATAGATAGATAGATAGATAGGGTGGGTGGGTGGGTGGGTGGGTGGGTAGACAGGCAAGCAGCTGATAATCTTTGTTGCCTGCTCTCAAAAGTGTACACATGCATAACATGGACATTCACATGCTATGTCCATATCTATATACCTATACCCTAACATATAAATGCCTATAAATACTAATCACTGTCCAACTTGAATACGTAGTGGAAAGAGGAAACTTGAGAGTTCACAAGGTTGATGCTATATGGATCAAAACTGTGACTGACTCTGGATGCTGCGGTGCAGATACCACGGAGCCCCCTCCTAAAAGAAAACAGGTCGTGAGGAGGACATGTAGAGTCCCAGGCATCCCTGGGGACCCTTCTCAAGCATCCCTCGTATGCCACATCCTGGATAGAAGGGGGTGAATTGCCAATCATCTTTTCTGCCGTCCTCACCACTCTATCCGAAGCAGTCATGCTTCCAAACCAGACTGTAATGCCATATGACAGGATGCTCTTCATCGTCCCTCTCTCTATATATATAGTGGCAAAATTCAGTGCTTCTTCCTAGGTTTCATGCATCTTATCCACACCTGTTCTGCTGAGCGGGAACCAAATTGGCACCGTGAGAATCCGGAAGAAAAACGAGGGCCAGATGGTGGCGGTTATATGAGGGTGGCTGGCAAATAATCAAGCTCTGTTTCCCAACGTCATGCTCTTGCATAAAACTCTGTATATAGCCTATATGTTAATCAAGAGCCCAAGAATAAACGGGTTTTAGAAAGCGACGCTGCAACAGCCTGGCTTCCTGAAACTCTTAAAAACCTCCCCCCTCCCCCCCGGTCCATGTTTCCTTCCTGAAAAAGCGACAGGAAAAATACTACGTTGTAAAGTTCACCCAGATACTTCTTTTAAAACTTAAGATGCGGGGGCTGGATCCGGCCCTGGACTGCTTAGATCTCACTCACAGTTAATGACTTGAAAACAGCACAGGCTCACGGTGCCTCTGCCAGTGAAAAGGGAGCTAGGGGGCTGCACGCCGGCAGGGGGCTCGCAAAACAAATTGAAAACAGAAGAGGAGGAGAAGTGTTTCCACTTTTGCATTTGAGCACGCAAGAAGGGACAGGGAAAGAGAAAGGGAAAGAAAAAGATGGGAAGAGAGCAAGGAAGGAAGAATTAGGAAAGAGGGGAAGGAAGAAGGAAGGAAGGAAAAAGAAGAGAAGAGAAAAGAAGGAAGAAAGGAAAACAGAGAAAAAAGAAGAAGCAAAAGGAAGGAAGGAAGGAAGGAAGGAAGGAAGGAAGGAAGGAAGGAAGGAAGGAAGGAAGGAAGGTTAATAACGATGAGACAATTTTTTCAAGGAAGATCTGAAAAATATCAATCTTAAATGAAAGGATGTAAAGACTGGAAGGAAGGAAGGAAGGAAGGAAGGAAGGAAGGAAGGAAGGAAGGAAGGAAGGAAGGAAGGAAGGAAGTGCACTGGGTAATGAAATGTCTGCAAGAAAACAACCAAGCTCAGAGAGCACCAAGGACCCCACAGTCCTCCTCCTCCTCTCTGCTCTCACTCCTTTCTAACACTGATAATGTTACCTAGTTGGGTAATAAAACATCTGCTAACAAACCGCCAAGCTCAGAGAGCACCAAGGACCCCACAGTCCTCCGCCTCTCTCCCCCTTTTCTTCTCCTCTCTGCCCCACTCCCTTCTAGCACTGATAATGTTACCTAGTTGGGTAATAAAACGTCTGCTAACGCACCACCAAGCTCAGAGAGCACCAAGGACCCCACAGTCCTCCTCCTCCTCCCTGCAAAGCCCACTCCCTTCTAGCACTGATGATGTTACCTAGCTTGATAATGAAACGTCTGCAAGAAAACCACCAAGCTCAGAGAGCATCAAGGACAGTCCTTCTCTTACTCCTTCCTGCAAAGCCCACGCCCTTCTAGCACTGAGGGTGTTACCTAGCTGGGTAATGAAACGTCCTCAAGAAAACCACCAAGCTTAGAGAGCGCCAGGGACCCCTCATTTCAACCCCGAGCCTCAAATATTCTCCTTTATTGAAACGCAGAGGTTCTTGGGGATTTCAGCACAACAACCTGTTTTTGGACTCCTTCCTTTTTCACCGTTTCACGTTCCCCCAAAACCCAAGCCGAAAGAGAACGTGTGTACCTGCTTTGCTTCTCCGTGTCCAACATTCTCTGGAGTTCCCGCACCCGGCACTCAAACTGGGTCTTCTCGTCTCCCAGAACGCTTCTCCACGCCTCCCACTGGCGCTCCTTCTCCAAGAGCTCGTCGTTCAGGGCCTCCAGGTCCATCACTTGCTCCTCCAGCATGGTACAGGTGGTCTTTAAGGCCTCCATGGTCTACAAATAAATCCCCAGTAGTTTTTTTCCCCCCCCCTCTTCCTGAAGTTCAGCTCGAGAGCATAATCATCATCTCCTTTGAATGACCACTGAACTGAATGGAGCTGAGTGTTTTACTGGCCCATTGCCCTTCCTGTTGCCAGAGTGGAGTTTTGTTCAGCAAATATATTCTCATTGTGCACAGAGAAGAGAAATATCTGCCTCTACCTAGGATCAAACTCCCAGCCTCCTGATTGTGAGGCGAGAGCTCCACCGCTAGGCCACCGCACCACTCAGCATTTAGGCTTATATCATCGTTTTCTTTTAACAACCCCATAATCCCTTGCAGGGTGGAGTCTCGGCAACTGAATGGAGCTAGCAGTGTTTTACTGGCCCGATGCCCTTCCTGTTGCCAGAGTGGAGTTTTGTTCAGCAGATACATTCACACTGTGCTGAGAGAGAGAGAAATATCTGCCTCTACCTAGGATCGAACTCCCAGCCTCCTGATTGTGAGGCGAGAGCTCCACTGCTAGGCCACCGCACCACTCAGCATTTAGGCTTATATCATAGTTTTCTTTTAACAACCCCATAATCCCTTGCAGGGTGGAGTCTCAGCAACTGAATGGAGCTAGCAGTGTTTTACTGGCCCGATGCCCTTCCTGTTGCCAGAACAGAGTTTTGTTCAGCAGATATATTCACACTGTGCCAAGAGAGAGAGAAATATCTGCCTCTACCTAGGATCGAACTCCCAGCCTCCTGATTGTGAGGCGGGAGCTCCACCGCTAGGCCACCGCGCCACTCATAATCAAGAGCATAATCCCAGTCTAACATAAAGCTCCTTTAGATTCCTTGCAAAGCGGTTCTTAACATTTACTGAACCCTTTCAAGGAAAGAGGCCCAGGATGGCCGAGTTCTCTGGATGGGGGCATGCTAGATAGAAGAGAGGAACAACAAGTGTTGGAGGAATCGGAGGCAGCACTTCAAAGATCATAAAATGGGGAGAAATGAACTATGTGCAGGGCTTATACTGACTGTTCCCAGACCAAGTCTTCAGAATAGAATAGGATAGGATAGGATAGGATAGAATAGAATAGGGATATAGAATGGGATGGGAATAGACTAGAATAGAAATAGGGTAGAATAGAGTACAGCAGAGTAGAATAGAATAGAAAAAAATAGAATATAATAGGAAAAATAGAATAAAATAGGGATATAGAATGGAATGGAATAGGAATAGGAATAGAAATAGGAATAGAAATAAGAATAGAATAGAATAGAATAGGAATAGGGTAGAATAGAGTAGAGTAGAGTAGAATAGAATAGAAAAAATAGAATATAATAGGAAAGAATAGAATAAAATAGGGATATAGAATGGAATGGAATGGGAATAGGAATAGAAATAGGAATAGAAATAAGAATAGAATAGAATAGAATAGGAATAGGGTAGAATAGAGTACAATAGAGTAGAATAGAATAGAAAAAATAGAATATAATACGAAAGAATAGAATAAAATAGGGATATAGAATGGAATGGGAATAGGAATAGAAATAGGAATAGAAATAAGAATAGACTAGACTAGACTAGGAATAGGGTAGAATAGAGTAGAATAGAATAGAAAAAAATAGAATAGGGATATAGAATGGAATGGAACGGAATGGGAATGGGAATAGAAATAGACTAGACTAGAATAGGAATAGGGTAGGGTAGAGTAGAATAGAAAAAATAGAATAGGAAAGAATAAAATAGGATAGGATAGGAATAAAAACAGGAATAGAATAGAATAAGTATTAGAATAGAATTAAAAAATAAAAATAGAAATAATAGAATAGAACAGAACAGGATTAAAAATAAAATAGAATAAGAAATAGAAATAATAGAACAGAACAGAATAAAAAAAAATAGGAATAGGAATAGAATAGTTGGAAGGGACCTTGGAGGTCTTCTAGTCCAACCCCCCGCTTAGGCAGGAAACTCTCTACCGTTTCAGACAAGTGGTTATCCAAATCTCTTCTTAAAAACTTCCCGCACTGCAGCATTCACAACTTCTGGAGGCAAGTTGTCCCACTGACGGATTGTTCCAACATCTAACATGCATTTAGTTGGATGGCTGAACAAGAGCCGGCCTTTGTCAACTGAAACAGGGAGGACTTACTTGCTTTTGACTGGTGAGCTGCATTTCCCGTTCCGTGATCTCGCGACGGAGATGGTCAACCTCGCTCCGCAACTGAACCACCTCGTTGTTCGCTCCCGAAGCTTCGTCCAACTGCTTGGAGAGGAAGAAATTCTGGTTGTTCAGCTCGGCGTTGTCCTCGGTCAGCTGATTCAGCTGCTCTTCTAGGTCCGTGATCACCTAGACGGAAAGAACAACACGCCGGGAAGGGGGGGGGGAAAGGAGGCGGGGGGGAGGGGGACAACAGAAAACACATCTAAGAAACGGGCGGAGAAGAGAAGAGGACGAGTCTCCCGACAGCCAACTTCCAAACTTCCTCAAACGGGCGTTCTGGAAGTTTTATCATGCAGCTTTGCGATAATGGCACATGCTAAAATAGCCAGGTGTCGAAGCTGCATCCATAACTGGGTCGAAGGCCCGCTGTCCTTTAATCGTTTGGCGTTAAGATGCACCTTGACGTAAGAGGTCTACTTTTCATGCCACGACCTCGGGGGGGGTTGGAAGAATGCAACAGCAACGAGCAACTGGCAGCCCTGCGGTTCTCTGGCCAGATCTGCGGGTGTTCAAACGACGGTACAGAGCAAATGAATTTATCTTTCTCAACCTGATGTTATCCTCCCTGTGGACCACAGGCGCTAACTTCTGCAAGAGGGATACTGAGGGATTCGCGGAGAGGCCTTGGGAGAGAGGCAAGTTACCTGTTCGGTGACTCTTTCGAGATTACTTCAACAAGAGAGGAAAACCAGGGTTTTGTGCCCAGTTGCCCTCCGGCCCCTCCAGCAGCCAAATAGGAGGAGGAAGCGACGGCGTTGGAGTCAGAGTCAGGATCGAGGCAACCTGAGAGCTCCGTGGGGAAAGAGGGAATGGAACTGGCAGAGAGAGAGACAGAGGCAGAGCCTGGGCTGTCCAACAGCCCTCAGATGGAGAGTCAACAGCCCCCAGGTCTGGAGGTAGCTGATAAGGAAGCGGAGGAGCAGCTGGGTCCAGTGCCTGAAGGCAGAGGAGAGGAGAGCAGTGGAAATCTACGGGCCGGTTCTCGGGATGGAAGAGCCACAGCTGATAGCGAAGCCCCACCCTAGCTCTGGGGATAAAAGGCAGGGGGCGGAGATGAATACAAGTGGCAGAGGAGAGGAGAGCAGTGGAAATCTATGGGCTGGTTCTCGGGACGGAAGATCCACCGCTGCTAGCGAAGCCCCACCTTAGCTCTGGGGATAAAAGGCAGGGGGCGGAGATGAATACAAGTGGCAGAGGAGAGGAGAGCAGTGGAAATCTATGGGCTGGTTCTCGGGACAGAAGAGCCACAGCTGCTAGCGAAGCCCCACCCTAGCTCTGGGGATAAAAGGCAGGGGGCGGAGATGAATACAAGTGGCAGAGGAGAGGAGAGCAGTGGAAATCTATGGGCCGGTTCTCGGGACAGAAGAGCCACAGCTGCTAGCAAAGCCCCACTCTAGCTCTGGGGATAAAAGGCAGGGGGCGGAGATGAATAGATGCATCAGACAACTGTTCATCTTCCGGACGGACGGACTTGTTAGTCTGCAGTGAGAAAGAAACATTTTGCCGGGGCTTTCCGGCGCTCCGCATAAAGGAAATCTTTGAGGTAACTTCAGAGGATTTGCCGTGTTTCGGGAGCTGTTACCAACACCTAACCGGCCGCCCACTCCCATTTAGCGTTAACCATGGGGTGAAATGTGACGAGCATCTGCCATTCATACGCATTTTAGAGAGCCAAAGCTAATAGAAGCACTTCAGCGAGAGGCATATAAAGAACCGGGCAACGACGCTTTTACGAAGCAAAGAAAGCTGAGGTCCATTAAAGCAGAATGGGGTGAAGATGTACTGCTTCGTCCCACCCCAGATGTTTCCAACGCTGCTGGATAGACCGCCAGGCCGCACAGAAAAGGGAGGCAAACTGGACGAAGACATACCGCGTGGCTGAAGCACAAAAAAACCCCACAATTTGGGAAGGAGGTATTAAACCGCGTCGAGTTTCCGGACAAAATGCTCGACTAATAACGAAATCACTTTTCTGAAAAGTTCTCCCAACCCACACAACTTGCTCGCGTGGTTGTGACTCCCCAACCAATGACAATGTCTCCGTTTTCTTCCCTGGCAACAGAGGAAGAATCAACAGGAGGAATAAAGTGGTGAGAATAGGAATCAACGCAAATGTCACCCACAGCAATTAAAGAAAACATCCTGACAACGAGGCTCCCATGCTTAGACATTGTCCACCTAAGATCATCTCCTCTTGGTTCATTATATCTTGAAGGTCCCGTTTTTGGGAAACCATTCTATTTCCTCGGTTCAGCTGCATGGGGAGGGAGACAGGAGAGGAGGGGAGGAACTATTTCTCATCCTTTGATAATAAAAAAATATAAAGCTAGCAAGCATCTGGTGGGACACGGTGGCCCAGTGGTTAAGATGCTGTGCTTGTCGATCAGAAAGGAGTGGAGAGGGAATGGGGATTTTGCAGTATCCTTTCCCTGGAGTGGGGAGGGAATGGGGATTTTGCAGTATCTTTTCCCTGGAGTGGGGAGGGAATGGGGATTTTG